GATTTGTTGTTACTATGACATAACCTCTCCTCTCCTAACCCAAAGACTTTTGGTGAGAATTTTTGATGGCTCTTTGATATGCCAAGGGGAGTCATTTAACTTTTACAGTCTTGATTTACCTATTAGTAATAATTGAGGACTGAATTAGATAATCTCTGAGGTTGTAGTTACTCAATCATGATGCAATATCGTGATACTGTGAGTCAGGGAAATCCTATGAGGAAGCTGTAGTGTTATCACAGATGTGCTACATAGTTATTTTGGGTTACAAAACAAAGACAAAACCATCACCTGGGGGACTGTTTCCCTAGAAGTGTCTTTGGAGTTTTTGTAGAGAGATGAGGTCACACCACATGTTTTGTTGGATAGTCAATACCTAGAACTATCCTGAGATGTTACAAAATATAACTTTTGCTTGACTGAGGGTAATTATCATGAGATCTTATTTTTTCTGTGATAGGAGAATAATAAATACCAGTTATTGAAAAACTTTCTATTTCCTGGTACTCCACATGTATTATCTCATCCCCGGAGAGAGATTCCAGTCCTTCCTTCCCTCCTTCTTTCCTTCCCACCTTCTTTCCTTCCTTTTTATTTTCTGCTCATCCTGCCTTATTTCTTCATCTATGCACATATCTACTGTTCACCAATCTTTATTCCTTTCTTTTTGTCTGTCTTTTACCTTTTTCTTTCTTTTCATCCCATCCCTTCTCTCCTTTCCTCCTTCCTTCTTTCATCTGTCATTCCACAAGAGATTATCCTATTTTTCCAATTTTTCTAAGGAAGAAACTGAGGCTTATAGAAAATAAAAACCTTTCCAACCAATATCAATAATAAGATCCAATCCCAGGTTTATCTGGGTTCAAAACTCTCAATCTCTAAAATATTTCTGGGATCAATTGTAAATGCTTAAGTGGAGAAAACTTAGGAAATATGGTGCTTCAAATTTAGGTCCATTTTATTTTAGATATGGTGAAATTGACTTCATCTACCAAGTTCTCTCCCCACATAATATAATTTTGGTTATATGTGTGTATATTTTCCAATATTATTCATATTCTCTTTTAAAAAGTTTGTCAATTTCAAAAAATTTCTTCATATTTCTTTTCTCATATTTGTTGTCCACACCACTTCCAATGTAATACACATGAGTTGCAGTCTCTTGCACTGTCTATAATTTTAAGCTCCTGATTCAAAATAACAAGCAAAGCAATATTAAATTATAAAGTGTGTAGGTGTCTGCCTCTGAGGGAAAGGCATGCAATTTTGCGTTTTTACTTTTTATTAGATAAAATTAAGCAACAGATAGAACTATTCCTAATCAAAATACTTCCTGTTCTTTCAAATCTATTTTTGCATCTATTCTGACATACTCTTGATATATCTTTGCTAATGCCTTTAACCTTGACTTTTTGTTCTCTCTCTCTGTTGTATAACAGCCTATATTACAGATACGTGACTAGATAGAATATTTTCTCTATAAAGTATCCGAAAGTAAAGGATAAAAACATTTATAAAAGGCAACCTTTACCATACTATATTATCACAACTTTATTACTCAACAAACATGAAATCACAATGGTAAAAAGATTAGAGGAATAAAAAGAATGCAATAAAAGAAGATGGCACACAGAAATACAAAGTTCATCCAAATTTGAGGACTTAAATTCTCAAAGAGCTGAACACTCTGCCAAGAGTCTTTAATGCTCTCTGTATAGCCACTGAGCAAGAGTACCTTTTCCTCCTAAAACCATCATTCTACTGGTTTGTTGGTGGTGTGCACTTCAGCACTCTCCCCAGCAATCCTCCCTATTGTGTTGCTGCCTGGAGTCACACTCCTCCACAGAGGTAGCCATCCTTATCCAATCCAATGTGGGCAATGCCACTTTTCTTGACATCCCAGTGCATTCTGTCATCAAATGGCAAAGGAACTGACCATCAGTAAACTTGTAACACCACTGGGGCCAATGAAATCCAAGGGCAAGTTAGTTGAGGAATTTGGGGGGAGATACTTTCTTGTCCTTCTCAGAGAATTTCAGAACCAGATATTTCTCTTTCTGGGCCCTGAAAGAGGGAACTCAAGAACTGGTGCAACTATTCTGCCAAGAGAGAAGCCAACTTCAGAGGAAAGGTAATCTCATAGGAGGGCGAACAGAAATGAATCAATTCTGGATCCTGTCCTAAGATGGACCTTCTACTTATGTGAGCTAATCAAAACTATTTCTTTCCAAAGTCAGTTTGGATTGGGTTTTCTATTACTTGGAACATTTAAAGAGGTTTAACTGATGCAACACTTCTTTTATTTTTGTTCCTTAATTTCATATATTTCTAATAATGCATAAATATATCCATGTATAATTATGATTATACCTCAATATATCATATGCTGTAGAAGAATCTAATTTATAGGACTTTTTATGAAAGTAACAAAGATGAATTTAAGATCTAACCGAAACCTTAAGAGATTATGTGAGAAGTATAAAAAGCACACCAATTATAGGAGAATTGATAATTTCTCCTTAATTCTAATATTTTGGGAAATATATATAACTATTCTTGTAGCTACATTATTTTTATTTATTGCTATTTCATTGTTTTAACCAACCAAACAGACAAAATATCTTAAGATTTATCTTCCAAGCCTACTTATTCCTAGTGAGCTACATGATGTACAAGACTCTCCAATGGCATTATTTTATTAATGCATTAAGAAAAACAATGCTATGTGCCTCTGAAGACCTTTGGCTGTCTGGGTCCTCCCTCTTCTCTCTCCAAATGCTCATCACTCATCAACATACACCTGCAGCTCCAGACTCCTCATAATTCTACTCCTCTCCCCCAGGTATACCATCTTAATTTTTGTATCTGTGGTTTTGGTCAAGTCCTTCCCTTACCTCTCCAAAAATGGAACTCTTCCCTACATAAGCTCTACCTCAGTATTTAGCTCTTTTGCTTTGATTATACATTACTGAGCACATGACTTTAATGCTTCAGTTCTTCTCTGTAATTATGTTTTTTAATCCTCAAGAGCAGGGATTGAAATTTAGAATCGCCACTCCCCAATGCTTCAAGTATATGTAACAGAGTAGATATTAAGCGAATAATTGCTTGATTAATTAACCATGCTTTATTATTTACCTTACAAATCCTGTTTCATGGATCTAGCCAAAGATTTTAAGATAAATCAAGATTGCCCTAGGGTTGACAGATTTAGCAAATAAAAATACAGGATACCTCCTTAAATCTGAATTTCATATAAATAAACTATTTTTTGTATAAATTTATCCCATGCAATATATGAGACATAAGTAAGGTATAAAATTACCTATTTTTAATCCAAAATTCAAATATAACTGGGTAATATCTGCTTTATTGGGCAATCCTAGATTGGTCTGACCTAAAAAAGATATGTGTTCTTATTTTTCTAAATTAGAACAAAATACTACATGTGTGATTTGTTAAACCTTATATGATTTTGCTAATCAAGCCCTACAGTTCTCTATAAAGAAAGCCCTCTGCATTGTTCCACCATTCAGTGAAAATACACTGATTGTGTATCCATTGTGTGAAGGTTACCATGTGTGAGTGTGCACAGGGAGATGAGGTTTAGTGAGTTGCTTTTCCCCACCCTGAGGACTCCCTATTCTACTGGAAGAGACAGCCCATTTCAGACCAACCTCTACTTGACATGCAATCCTGGTTTATTAATCTGTGTGGCTGACAACTCTTTTAGGCTTGACACAGCCCTCCTGAGAAAAGATCGAAGATAACACTATAAACTTAGGTTGTCAAAAATGAGAGAGATTATTTTTGAAGTACACATTAAATAATACCTAATTTTTAAGCATTATGTAAACAGCATGATTCATAATTATAATTGAAAACAATTACTCATCATTTGTCTTGATCAGCACATTGAATTTTCAGGTTTTTTTTTAAACTTTATTTTATTAGTTCACTTTTTTTTTTTTTTCAAATGTGGTGCTGAGGATTGAATCCAGTGCCTCATTCGTGCTGGGCAAACGCTCTACTACTGAGCCCCAGCCCCAGCCCCAGCCCCAGCTTCGAATTCTCAGATTTTGATAATGAAATTCGGGTTTCTCAGGTGAAAAAAAATCTGATTATTAAATTACTTCATGTGTTTTTTTTTTAAAAAAAGCATAAGCAAATTTAACACGGCATTTTTTGCCCTGTCTGCTGCATAAGTCCTTCATAGGTAAATGCCATGTTGGCTACTTAATCTAAGTGATTTATTTAGGCAGTTGTTAGGATCCACCCATTCTACCTCTCTGCTGTGACTTTGGTTGATCTTAGTTAATTTCTTATTCTCCATTATGGAGAGAACAGGGTAATGGGAGGCCTGGTTTTCTTTACATAGCACTGTGTCATAATGGAGGTGTGTATGTAGGCAAAGTTTGACAGTCAAAATTTTTAGCAACTATTTTTACCAGCTATATGCTACATAAATTCAGTGTTATTTTTAAAAATCAAATATTTAAAATCCAGAAACAAAAACACATTTTTTTCATGACAGTGCTCTCTGTGTGTGTATGAGGGGTGGTGGGGAAGAGAGAGAAAGAGAAAGAGAAAGCTTCCTCAGACTTAAAAATATAGTTCAAGGTTTTAAAACAACATTGCTTTAACGTAAACATACCAATTTTCAGTTCTAGAATAGAATATGTAGTTTTTTTTTCTTTTCTTTTCTAAACAAGCCGATGATCTCAACCCTTTGATCTGTGTTTTAAAGAGCACTTTGAAATAAGAAGGTGTGACCCATAAAATGATGACTTTTGTGTGGTTCAGTTTATTATTAATTCATCACCTGAAATTACACAGAGCGGTATTAAAATGTAACAAGAATACGGGGGTAAATTAAATCAGTCCCCATCATTTGCTAATTACCCAGACATAACGCTATAGTTAACATTGTCATTATGCTAAGTCCTTCAAAATTATGAAATTCTCATTTACACTCTATGTTTTATGTTGTCAAAAATTACCTTGGGTAGCTCTTCAATTTGATTGGCATCTAGATAAAGCTCCTCTAATGTCCGCTCAAAGTTAAAGACCTCCTTTGGCACCTGCTGAAGGCTGCAGTGGGAGTAATCTAAAACTGAGATGATTTCTTCTTCACCTCGGAAACATCGGCACGGCACCAGACGGCCGATGATTTTCCGTTTGGTGGTCATCTCCAGGCACTGCACTAGAAAGAAACAGAAAAAATAAACAAACTGCTTAATCAACTGCTTTTCAAGGGCTTTCTTAGAGCTTATTTAGAGCTAATTTTGGCACGTATTTTATAATTTTATCATACTTTACAGTTTATATAGGACATGCACATGCAATTTACTCCAAAAAAAAAAAAAAGTGGAGGAAAGAAACCTCTGGAATTGGAAAAGACACTTCTCTTATTTCTGCAAAAACATTCAAGTTTCACCCAGTGTCTTCTTTTTTGATTCATAGATTTATTCCATCAGCGAACAGGTTTTTACAGAATAAACTAGACTTCGGAAATACATGATGAGTTGAACAGTTTGTTTTTGTGCAGCGTGTGATCAATTGGACTACAGATTAGACATGGAACTCCTTATTTACTTCAGAATTTTAGTCTGTCTTTAGGAATTCTGTGATTTGGATGGGAGAAAAGAGACTGCAATCGTGGTACATATTCATGTGACATCTTGGGCATGTCCTTTTCCTATTCCTCTAGGAAATGCCAAATGCCATGAAATTGGCACAGACTTGTGTCATGGATCCTTCAATATTTACTCTATTGCTTTTCAGGTCATTTTCTTCTAGACTTTAAGCTCTTAAGGGCTGGGACTGTTTGGTTCATCTTTGTGTTTGACACAGTGCCTGACATATAATTGACATTCACTAACGACTGTAGAATAAACAAATGAATGTGCTGGTGAATAAATTAATGTATCTGGGACTCTCAGGATCACATCAGCTACCGATAATTTTCTTGAGACTTCTCATTCTAACTCAAAGATCGTGATCTCTGTGATTATGTCCCCAGGAAGAATAGGTATATAACTCCTGACTGTGCATGCCGTTTCTCCATAGAGTAGGTGGTGCCTTTAAGGAGATCTTGTCTTACTTATTTTTCAATTCACAGTATAAGCACTTGGCCAACTATAGAATCAGCATTGAATGAACATTAATTTGAAACTTGCATTCAATTTGTAAATTTATTTTTAATTAGAATATAAATTTATTTTTAATTAGAAAATAAATTTAATGCTGAAATAGAAATTAGTGACATTTTATAAAAATGAAATAAAAACTATATAGCATTTTGCTTTTGAAATTGCTTAGCTAAAGTCAAATTTTGAGGCAACCAGGTAGAATATACTTAAAAACTATAGAAGATTCAGTTCAAAGTCATCCTTATTCCTCTTTAACTTCTGACATTAATGAAAAGATAATCTGGAGGCAGGTTTATGGGTGAGCACTTATAGATGGCTGTTTCCACATGGTGATTATAGAAAGTTTACTAAAAACATATAAAACATGAATTTTTCATTAATTTGCCTGAAACTCCTACACTTCCCAGTTTTTACACTTTTAATGTTTTATATTTTTATTGTTAATTTTATATGTACTTTACATTTTTATTTTTTAAATTAGTTTGTAATAGTTATATATAATACTGGGGTTCATTTTGACATAATCATATAAACACGGAATATAATTTGCTGTTTTACTCCCCAGTATTTCCTCTTTCCCTCCTTTTCCCCCTCACCCCTTCCCTTTCCTCTGCTCTACTGATCTTTTATTTATTTATATATTTTTTTAAAAATTAGTTCATTATGGATATACATAAAGGTGAAATTTACTATGGTATATTCATATATGTGCGTAGAAAACTTTGGTCAGGTTGATTCCATCACTCCTCCCTTTCCCTATGCCTCCTCCCTCTTTCTCAATCCCCTTTCTCTGCTCCACTGATTTCTCCTAAAGCATAGGAATCAATAAGTGGGACAGTAGCAAATATAAAAGTTTCTGCACAGCAAAGAACCATTAAGAGCATGAAGAGAGAGACTACAGACTGGAAGATCTTTGCTAACCACTGCTCAGATACGGGACTAGTTATCCAGAATATATCAAAAAACATAGCACCAAAAACCAAATAACCCAATTAATAAATGGACAAAACAACTAAGCAAACAGTTTTCAAAAGAAGACATATGAATGACCAAGTAAATATATTAAAAAATGTTCCACATCCCTAGCTATCAGGGAAATCCAAATCAACACTATATTGAACTTTCATCTCACACCAGTGAAAATTGCAAATATCAGGAATACAAATAATAAACGTTGGCAAGGACATGGGAGAAAAAGGTCTACTCATACAGTGTTAATGGCACTGTAAAGTTGTACCACCACTCTGGAAAGCATTATGGAGATTCCTCAAAAAACTAGGATTGAAACCACCATTCTACCCAGTTGTCCCACTTCTTGGTATATATTCAAAAGATCTAAAATCAACACATGATAGGGGTACAGCCACATTGATGGTTATATCGGGGAAATTCACAATAGCCAAGTTATAGGACCAGCCCAAGTACCTGTGAACAGATGAAAGAATTATGAAAATGTGATATATACACGCAATGGAGTTTTACTTATCCACAAAGAAGAATACAATTATGGCATTTATTGATACATGGATGGAGCTTATAATTGTATAATACTTTGCAGTTTATATAGGACATGCTAAATGAAATAAGCCAGACCCAAGAAGTCAAGGGTCAAATGTTTTCTTTCATACAATGAAAGTTAGACCAAAATAAGGAAAAAGAAAAAAAAAGAAAAGCAGTGGGCAGTTGGGGGGAATCCCATGAAAATATACTTTCTATTTTTTTAATTTGTTTTAAGTAGTTACACATGACAGTACAATGATCTTGACATATCATACATTTGAATCAGATGGCGTATAACTGCTCATTTTTCTGAGTGTACAGGTTGCAGAATCATATTGGTCATATAGTCACGTTTATATATACAGTAATATTAATGTATACTTTCTATTTTTTAAGAGTCTAAATCACAAGATTTTGTAATTATTATTTTACCTGGCCTTGTTTGATGCCTTCATGTCCCTACTTGGAGTCTAGCACATATAAGACATCCTAATGTATAATGAGAGCAACTAAGAACAGAGCAGGGAGGAAGAGCAGGAGGAAAAGATTAACATTAAACAGAGACATGAGGTGGGAGGGAAAGGGAGAGAAAAGGGAAATTGCATGGAAATGGAAGGAGACCCTCATTGTTATACAAAATTACATATAAGAGGTTGTGAGGGGAATGGGAAAAAAACAAGGAGAGAAATGAATTACAGTAGATGGGGTAGAGAGAGAAGATGGGAGGGGAGAGGAGGGGGGATAGTAGAGGATAGGAAAGGTAACAAATACAACAGTTACTAATATGGCAATATGTAAAAATGTGGATGTGTAACTGATGTGATTCTGCAATCTGTATTTGGGGTAAAAATGGGAGTTCATAACCCACTTGAATCTAATGTATGAAATATGATATGTCAAGAGCTTTGTAATGTTTTGAACAACCAATTAAAAAAAGACATCCTAATGGTGCCTTAATAATTATGTGACATCTGTTAGATACCTAGTAGATGTATTTTGGAGTTTTTATATTGTAAAGGTAAGTGATGATAGCTTAGATTCTTTTAGTTATGAGAATGAGGAGAAGTGATTTTTGGGAAGGTAATTAAGAAGTCAAATCCACAGACTTATGGTGGAATAGAAGGGTGGTAGAAGGGGGGGAAGTGGAGCAGAGAAATCTATTTTAGAAGATTCCCAGGTTTTTAATTTTTTTAATTTGAGTGAGTGCTAGCCATTCTCTCTGTCCCCAGCAGTGATGCCCTAGAAGAGACCCAGGAAGCACACCTTGTCTACTTATGGGACTTAAAGCTGACTGACAAATCAACCGTTCATGCTTTTTGTTGTTCAAAGCCTCATTCCATCTTTTGTTCGGGACCATTGGCTATTTTTTTCTTTAATGTCTTTTAATCATACAGAATAATGGGTTTCATTTTGGCATATTTGTACATGCAAAATAACAAACTTTTCTCGAGATTTATTTGTTGCTGTCACTGCATATTTTTTAAAACATAAACCAAGTGGAATAAAGAGTACCTAGACCTGCCCCTGAACCATTGGGTCAATGTCCAGGGTCCATCAAACCTTTTGAAACTTAATTCACTTAGCATACTTTCACTTTTGTCCCAGAATGTAAGCCCTTATAGTCATCTTCTCTCCCCACAATGTGCTGAATTATTCCCCCTATCCCAACTCCTCTGTCTCTTTCCTCTGAACTCAGAGTTTCCTTTACATCATCATCAATATCTTCACTGAGCCTCAACCCTCTCAAGGAATACTTCCCCTCTCTCTCCTCGTTGACTTAACTATAACTGGATTTTTCCTAGGGTCAACATACAATCTTACAGCCTTTAAAAGTAGAGCATGATGATTTTATCACACCACCTACTAACCCACTTCTGAGTTAGAAGGATGGATTACTCTCCACCTTGCCCTCTAAAATCTATTGGTCTTCTCTCATCCTATAAAACCCGTTCCTTTGACAGCTTCCTTAGAGTAACATCAGTCTACTCTTTCATATACCATTTATTTATCAATTTCTTGAACACTCCTTTTCATTCATTGATGACTTTGTCATCTCATGCACAAAATATGTCTCCATTAAAATTCCATTCATTCCCAATTTATGTTCTCTACCCACACAAAATAACTTTCAATGTTTGGGAGCTCCAACTCCCTATAAATTTCTAAATAACTTGACTGTAAATGCTAATTCTTGATTTTTAAATTACAGGTTTCTCATATCACAAGGTAGGGAGATTCTACCTTTCTTCAAGTAAATTCTGACATACTTCTACCCAAGCAAAATACATGTATAACAATTATGTTTTAAATTAATAGTACCTACTTGGTTATATACCAGTGTAATAGACCACATTATATTTCTTGGGTATCTTTTTCATTCCTTAGAGTTTAAAAAAGTGCTTTATTGTTTTCTTGCTTGGTTATTCTATGTATATTTTTCTAATTCAGTTTCCTGACTCTCTCCCCGTGATACAGCCAAACACATGTAATAACCACCCCCAACTCCTACCAATCCCTTGGGAACCCCGAGTCTCCCTACTCCAGTCCGGAG